GTGTGTGTATGTGTGTGCGACCAAGTGTGAGGTAGTGATGATAGATGAGGGCAACTGGTCAACCAGCAGATCTGCTTTTCTTAAACTTATTAAGCGGTGTAATTGACCGGCTAAATCACGGTGAAAACAGTTGCAAAAAACGGATTATTTGTGTGATTGTAGTACAAAAAAAGTGTACTAAAAATTCACATTACTGATAGCTAACACTCACCAGAGAATGTGGTAAACTAAAGCTAAACAGTTCATTAATTAAAACTAATTCAAACAGTAAAAACAAGCGCATTGAATAAATGAATTGAGAATTGCATTCAGTAACACAGTGTATGCAAATTGATCGTTGAAGAATGAGGTCACTTCTTTGCAATCAATACATAGGCTGAGACACTGATAATGCACAAGCATAACGAGTTCGCCGATTTGTTTGTAGATGGCGCGTCGAACGAACTCATGATTTAAAAATCCAATTAATAAGTGGGTGTCTGTTTTCTCAAACACATCTTTTTAACAACAGAAAAACAATGACTTTAAAACTTGATGGAAATGGCCACTGGGTCCAGAGTAACCGGGACCCAAAGTTTCCGGTCAATGTTAGTTTTGCATGAAAAAACGACATAGACCACCAGTGGTTCTACATAACCCTAACCTCAATCGCGAGGCGGTGAGAAGGCCGCCGAGCTAAAAAACAAACTCCAATTGAGAAAATTTAGTAATTAACATAACTTTAACTTCAATTGCAAAAAATTTCTAAAATGCCAATCAAATGTGAGGGTTTTAGTTGATAAAGTTGTAGAATAGATGCCAAGCTGATGAAGTAGGGTGTTTATTTTTCGTAATCACCACAAGTGAAGTTGACTTGCAGTTATTGTTAATTACTAAATTTTGCATCTGTTTGCTGTTTGCTGGTGGTTTCCAAGACTTTTTAGCAAAGCTTCACCCAGTTTTTTGCAATGAAAATTTTAAGAATTTTAACAACAACAGGTGTTAGTTGCGCATTTGCTGTTGATCGTTTGATCCTGAAGCTCTTTTTTTAACGACGGCCATGCAGCAATTTCATCAACTGTATAACTCATTTGACCGGTTTTTAAAAATTTTAAAAAGTTAGAAAAAAGTATTTTAGTTACTTAAATAACTTTACTAAAAAGGTTCTTGTACTTGCTTGGCGGCTTGTAATCACAGTGGCTGTTAAAGTAATGTTACTCTCTAAACTCCTCTAACTGGAGTTATTTCGTTAGCTCGGCGGTATCGCAATTTGGGCAAAATTTATGTTAATCACTAAATTTCCTCAATTGGAGTTTGCTTGTTAGCTCAGCGGCTTTTCGCCGCCTTGCGATTGAGGTTAGGGTTATGTTAAACTCATTGGTCCATGGCGTTTTTTCATGCAAAACTAACTTTAACCGGAAAAATTGAGTTCAGATAACTTTAGATCTAATGGCCATTTCTATTAAGTTTAAAAGCCAGATATCTAAAAATTAGCTACTCTTTTTAAAAAATACCATTTGAGCAAAATCTGGAGGTCACACTTTGGGTGATTTACTGTTAGAGAATATATTATATCTGATCAGAATTTGCTTCAAAACAAAAAAAAGTTAAAAATGAAAGCACACTAGTTTTCAGCGTTTGCACGCGTTTGTTGCAACTGGTGATCATCAACTTAAAATTACCACAGAATTCATCCTTTTTTGGTGATTTGCATCAGCATCACCCACTTCATCATTCAACTGAAACAGAATCGCACTGAAATTAGTTTGAATGCAAATGTCAGTGCGTTCAATACACAAGCACGCATCTATTGTTTTGTTCTGTCCAAAAAAACTTCATCATGTCTTTTAATTTTACTTACACTTTGGTTGCATTGTTCAATTTAATTAAAATTTTTAAACAAAAAATACTGTAGCGCCATCTACAAACAAATCGGCGAACTCGTATGCTTGCGCATTATCAGTGTCTCAGCCTATGTATGTTGACTATTTGAAATTAAATACGGTTTTGTTTTAGTGTTTTGTGTTCATCATTTTTTAAACTTGATCACGCGCATGATTTATTGCAAAGCAAAAAAAACTTAAAAAAATCAGTACAAAACCGTGGATTTGCAAAACGTTTTTATTTAGATAAAAACGATTTTGTCTATAAAAATTCATTTTAGACATTAAACGTTTTGACAAATTAATCAATTTTCTAAACAAGTGGTTTTGCTGCAAATAAAGTAAAAAATGTGATTAATTAAAAAACAATATGCAAACATTTCAAATTTCAATTTTCAAACTTTATAAGATTTTTCTTAAAATTGACATTTTGAATTTGCAAAAACTTAATTTGTTTTTTAAGTTTTTTAAACTACATCAAACAAACTAAAATTTTAATTTTAATTTTATACTAAAAAATATATTTTGTTGGCTATTTTAAAAAACAGTATTAAAAATGCATACATTTTTTACTCATAAAATGTGATTTTTGTTTTAATTTTGCAATTAAACAAGTTTTATTGTGGTTTTAATAATATTTTTACTGCCAATTTTTAATTTTGTTGTTTTTTAAAAATCAAAAAATTTTTTTTGTTTGCTAAAACAAAACATAAAATAAAATTTTAAAAATGGGCACTTTACAATCAAAAGCTCAGCAAAGCAATTATAAAAATCGTTTGGTTGACAGTTACTTCTCTGGAAAAATTTCAAAAAATCCTTCAATTCGGTTTTTTCAGAACTTGTCAATTACTTTTGTTTTTCAACACTTTCATCAGATATCAAAACGCAAATTAAAGATTGTTCAAACGACGACACTGAATTTAAAAGCATTGATAAAGATTATTGAATAATCATAAAAATTAATAAAAAGGTGAAAAATAATTACAAATTTTTAAACAGAAAAACAAAACTAATTTATACTTTTGCATCTCAAAAAATATTGGCAGCCGCGTGACAAAAAAATGTAAAATTAAAAAAATATGTTTTAAATTTTTTTAAAATGACATTTGAATGTTTTTTAAATATGTTTTAGGCAAGTGTTTAAACACTTTAAAACAAACAAATAGTAATTGTTTTTAATTTGATTTTCAAGCACTTAAAATGTTTTATTCATTTTTAAACTTTAATATATTATTTTTTTAAAAGCTGCTAGTGCAGTGCCTACTTGCCTTAATTAGTATTTTAAAATTTATTTGGTTTATTTTCTTTTAGCAGATGAACAATTGTTAAACAACAATTTCTCTACAGTACAGTATAGTTTGAAACTGAACAATGTTTTTTGCATGTTGTACAATAGAGTAAAAGGCGGTCCAAACTGTATTTTGAGGCGTGAAATTGACAATCACTCTGTTAGACACAACTGTACAATGACGAAATTAGAAGGAGGGAAATGGGCAAGGGCAAAATTGTCGTTGTTTAAATGATCAGTTTGCGCCTAGTTTTTAAACATTTGAATAAAAATGAAAATATGATTATGTTTGAGGTTTGTTAACAAGCAAACAAATTCAGTGTTAAAAACAAGATTTATTTAAATGTGGCTCAAAAATTATAGAATTTTTAAACTTTTAAAACTATTTTTTGCAAATTTCACTTCAAAATATAACAATTTAATGTATTGTATTAAGTCTTGGCTGCTTAAGTACTTTAGAAGTACTCGTTTTAAAAAAACACATTTTGTATCAGAATCACATTTTTATCAATTTGTACAAATTCTGACCACTGCTTTAGAAAGAGAACGTTCTAAAAAAGTTTGAGCAAACAGCAGCCCACTACTTCTGGCATTTCATCAAGTCAGCTATAGCTTTGTTCATTAACGCTAGCCCCTGTGTGTTTGAGCAAAGTTGTGCAACAAGCAAACAAACAAACAAACAGAAGCGACAGTAGACTGCTGCTGCCCATTAGCAACAACTAAAAACCTATTAGTCAGCCCTCTCGTCCGGCCGAAAGGCTAACTAACTCAGCTTCTCCTATTAGTCATTATCATCATCGTCGTCGTCCTCATCTACCAGCAACAACAACAAAAACATTGCACTTGCACTGCATTACATTTGAGTAGGGTCTAGAAAGCAGATGGAATGCAACACTAGTCCAAAGCATAACCTCCTTGTCGTTCTGACGATGAGACTGATCAGAGTGTGTGTGTGTGACTGGCCAAGTGTATACCTTATTTGAGTTTTGCTGTTGTGCCAAAAGAACGCCGGCTACTGTCAATGATCTAACCATTAACCTTTGCACCTCATTAAAAGCTTTAGCCTCTTTTGTTGAATGTTTTGTTTGACGTTCTTTCTTTCTACTTGTTCACTAAGATGCAGTTTGCTTTTTTAGGCAAAACAAACTATTTTATTTGTACTGTGATTTTATTCATTTTGATTTTCAAACATCGTTTAAAATGTTTAGTGTGACATTTTAAAACAATTTGCAACTAGACAGCAAAATTATTTATTGCATCGCCAAAACATTTACAAACTGAACACTTCTGCGCCAGGTGAAAAAAATTAATTCTATTTGAAATGAAGCAATTCAGTAGCGCTGTTCAATACACAAAAAAATGTCAAAGGTCACATCTGAAACATCTGCAGCAGCAGCAGTTGCTGCAACAGCTGCAAATTCGAAATTACTCAGCCAAACGAACCACACACCAAAAGCTGCGCCCTCTGTTCAAGCGTCAGGAAAACAGAGCATCGCAGTTTGTTTACATCTGCTGGTGAATCGCACTCATTACTTTTCCTTCTCCTCTCTTTACCCTTTTACCAAACAGAAAGTTCCAATTGACGTTGACCAGTTTTGGTGGCAATTACGGGATCACCTCACCACGGTATTACCGTCGGTCATAGGTAGTCGTCATTAGGTGTTGGCATTGGTGTGCAGCAAGTGCTGCAAGCGGTGATCGCCACTTTCAATTAGCACCACCACCATCACTTTCCAATCGCCAATAATCTGAATCGCTGAACTGCTGACCTTGCTTGTACGCACTTTTTTCTTCTTTTCTCAAACTGGTAAAACTTTTTCTCACTATCTTAGTAACACATGCTGTTCAGCATGTATCAACTGTACCAAGAAAAGAAGGGTTTGATATCACTAAATCATCTAACAGTCCTCAAATCTCATTTCTCAATTACAGTATCACTCGCACAACAAAGTGTGGTCATTGTTGAGCCCACAGAGCTGCAACACACGCACAACTTGAAACACTACTCCGCTTTGCCCCTCAGCACAATGCCTAAATTAGAGGTCGCGCACAGCAACATCAACAAGACACCTTCTTTCACCAGTATTGGAAGTGGTGGAGGTGGTGTTGGCGGTGGTGATCACGAGGTGAAACCACGAGATCACGAGAAAGCTGATCACCCCCTGAAAGATGAAAAGCCCAACAACAAACGACCCCCGCGCACTCATCGTCGTCCCCAGCGCCAGAAAAAACAGCTTGATAAGCAAACAGAACAACAACAGCAGCAGCAACAACAACAACAACTGCAACGGCCGTCTAGACAGCTGAAAGTGAATGCAGACGTGAAGAAAACTGATGCTATCACCTCCAGTGCAAAGGACTTTGACTCACTGAATACAACTACAACTACAACCGCCACCACCACCGCCACTTCGACGCCTTCAAGGCCTGCACGAGGAGGACATCCACTGGGGCACAAAAGTCCGGTTAAAATGGCGATAACTACCACCTCCTCAGGCAGTCCACTTTCGATGGGAGTTCACGGTGGAGGAGTAGGCAACAGCAGTCGAGGTGGTGGTGATGGCGATGATTGTCGAACTGGTGAAATGGGAGTTGGTGGTCATCTTCAGTCGAACTATCCCACTTTTGCTCATCCTTCAATGCAACAGCAGCAACAACAGTCGTTTCTTCAGTGGCCACCACCGCCGTACCATCCGTTCTACAGCAAGGCGGCCAGCTTCCAGTACCGAAACCAGACGCACCAGTCCAAGGGTAGGTGAAATCTCTCTCTCTCTCTCTCTCTCTCTCTCTGTTTGATAAGGAGGATGAAAATGATGATTGATGACGATGATGATGCTCATCACACTGATAAGCTTTCAATCAACTGATTGTCAGCAGGCATATCATGTGCTGATGACGGTAGTGCTGATGATGATGATGATGATGATG